CAACAAAAGTAACCCCTATATGTCACCTTTTCAAGGCGACACAAAAATGATCAAATCATACAACTCTGACAATACATGTATGTGTAAGGGCCCTGAGTATAACCCTACTTCATCCTACTTCTCTGACAAGATTTACCTGGGCACTTGATTTCAGTTCTGTAAAAGTTTGTATGAAAACTCCTGAGTGATGTAATAGGGAATTTATTCCTCTATATCAAGTGTGATAAAAAAACAAAAGGTCATAATTGTGCCCAAAATGATCAGTCCCAAATTCTGACATTTTACTATGGAGACAGTAGATGACATCATTCTTCTGAGAAATGTCTAGAGTCCCTTGAGAAATATAAGGAGAAGTTAAGCACCAGTCTTTTGCCAATATTCGCCAACCCAATATCTGGTCCAAATATTTAGACGTAACCGCGGATTTGAAGCTATTTTTTACAAGGGTCAAATTCGCATTTTCCGATAAACGTCAAACTGTAAAAAAAGAAAATGCGATGTCTTTCAATGAAGGACTATCCAATATCTAGCTCATTTTTAGAAAACATGATTAAAATCTTAATATTGTTTACATAAATGATTTTTTTTTACTTTTTTTTTTAAGTTTTATATAATTTATTCAAGTATTGATGAATTAATCTTTTCTCACTTTAACAAAGCTGAGTGCAAGGGATTACAGGTGAAATAAGCCTTCCATCTGTTATGCTCATACTCATAGCCTTTTTATTAGTTAGGTGTGAACAGTTTGACCCATTTTACACACAGCTTTTTTCACCTATTTTTAAACAGTTGAAGCAGAGACATATATTTTAACGTCTCTGGTTGCAGACATCTCTTAAATCTTATCCTGGTGACTTTTACTGCTCATTTATCCTGATGGTAGATTAAAAGTTTTAAATTGCCACTACAAGGTAAAACACTGTGAAAACTCCCTCTTCTATTTTTTTCAGTGGAAAAAGACATCGCCCATCCAAAATTATCTGGATGTCTCTTTGACAAGTCTAATTAGTTGGATAAGTCTGTGATAAGATCTATGAATGAATATTTATTTTCACACCCCATACTTAAAGTAGGCCTATTGTCTATCAGCAGATTATGCCCCCTTGTAAATACATACAGTAGTGTTACTGTTGTCTGCAAACACTAAGATGATCTATCGTGGACAAACCAGTTCTCAAACCTCTAAGCATTCAAGAGGTCTTTTAGTATAAATAAGAATAAATCTTTATCAAAATTCTTTACAAATGTACACTTTAAACTTTATGTAACATTTCTGTAAAATTTGACTGTAATTCAACAATTTAAAAAGCTCTTTTTCCATCTTTGAAAAGCACAACCCTCATTTATAAAATTGACACGGCCTCTTAAAAGAAAGAACCTTATCTCAACCCCTTCAAGTATTTCTGAAATTCTACTGTTTAGTTTAGCCAATGAAGTGATTATTATATGAATATCACATGACAATTAAGTACCCTACAGGATGCAGGTACCTGCTTGAAGATATTTTTGTCTCTAATAATCATTATTACAAACTGTTAACCCATTACTTCATGAGCATTTTGTGAAAAATGGCTGTTTTCATTGAAAAGTCTCCTGTTACAAGTTCAAATTGCTATAATACTATAAAAACAGCTTCAACACTAATCAAACTTGGCACAAATGTTGACTGGACCATTGCCCTTGCAACAACATACTCAGGCTTAAATTTTCTGTTACCATGGCAACATCTCAAAATTGCCCAAAATCACTTTTTTTGCGTTGATTTTTTCCATCAAAATTGATTTCAAAGTGCTGCAACTTCTCAATGGATTGAGATACATGTAGAGTCAAATGCTTTTCAGCGTTGGGCCCGTTACCTTTTGATCAATCTGGGGTCATTTATAGCCTCTCACAAGTCCAAAATTTTCTTGGCGATGAGGGGGACTCCGTCCCCCCTTCAAACCCCCCAAACAGAAGGGGCAAAACAAGTGTTGGGGGCCTAAATAAGGCATTTTTTCACCATTTGAGACAACAAAAAGGGGGAGGTGAAAAAGGCGTGTATATAATGTAATGGTTTAATGGTATATTTACAGGACTTACAAAAGTAATAGCAATTTGTTTGAAATTATGCTCAGTAATAAGATATTTAATGTAAATATTCCTTACAATGCACTGTTTTAATTGAACAGCAGCAGACATGTCTGTCAGAAACTAAGCTTTAATGCACACAAGTTGAGGACATCAAAGTCACTTCTATTAAATAAATAACAGCTCATGAATAAAAGGTTTGAGAATAGGTTGGGTTATCTTTCCTTGAATTAGATAAAATCTGTGTGTCCCGTCCAGAGAAATACGATCATGCCGTCCCAGGTGGTGGTCTAGGAGACGGCCTAGTGGTTATAATGTGCCTGCCATCAACCGATGGATCAAGAGTTTGAGCCCAACTTGGGTCATGACCATGTTTCTTCATATGACACCAGTACTTGCTGGTTCCAGGGGTCACTTTTGTTCTATATTAATCCATGTGTGATCACACTTTCTCCTATATCTCCCAACATGCTATTACTATTATTTTTTGTTCTTCATTCAGCCACGTGTTATCACTTTTTGTTCTATATTCAACCACGTGTTATCACTTTTGTTCTATATTCAACCATGTGTTATCACTTTTTGTTCTTCATTCAGCCACGTGTTATCACTTTTTGTTCTATATTCAGCCACGTGTTATCACTTTTTTGTTCTCTATTTTGTTAAATACTAAGTCTTGAAAACAGTATTTTATTTTTTGGAAAGGGAAAAACCATGTTATTTATTTTTTTTGAGACTCGGGCCCAAGACATGAATTTTTATCTTCAGTTAAAACAGGGGTTGATATAAAAAAGCAAAACCCGGTTTTTAAAGGATCTTTTTCCCTTTCCCACTCTTCAATTCTTATAAGAAAATTATACATATGTAGATTACATCTGTAACATAAACCGGATATCGTGGACTAACGTCTTCTTACATTTGCGAATTGTTTTGAAAACAGTTTTACTTTTTGTTTTCTCTTATTTTCCCCACAATCATCTTGTCAAATTCTTAACCACGAAAACAAATATTTGTATTGATAAGTGTGGTAGTAATGAAGCCACTGGGATAGATAGAACTTAAGATATATCCAACCTGCCGGTTTAGGTTAATCATATCCATTTCAAAGTGCTAAAAATGCACTTTTTACTTGGAAGTTAACGGAAGCAATAGTTATGTAACTGACCAAGATCATGTACAATGTACTTTGTAAGTTTATAAATTATGAAGCCATTGACTAATGTCGAACGTTAGAAGAATCCTAATTGCTGATTTAGGTTAAATCAGTACAAACAGACGGAAAGTTCCATTACTATATGCCCGGGGGCATAAAAAGAGGACCATAATATCTCTGGATCGCTTACCTGAAATAAATTGCTATAAAAGGTCGTAATTCTTTATTTTAAAGCAACAAAAGCCACCCATTGGTAGCCACACTACCTTTTCATTATTTCCAAGTCAAACACGTCAGAAGAATATCAATGTAAACACTACTTTTTTGAAACAAATAAAATTTGACCTTGATGGTCAAGGTCATTCAAAGGACAAGGTCACATTTGAATTAATCATCATGTCAGTGCTCTTTTTGCCCAAGAATGAATCAAGTCGTAAATAAATAACAAAGTTATGACAATGTAAGCAAATTTCAATAATTAGACCTTGACGGTCAAGGTCATATCAGAATAATTTAACATATTGGTTTTGTCATTTGAGTTCTTTTGTCTAAATATAAATAAAATCTGTAAGTAAATAACAAACTTATGGCGATTTAAAATAGACCTATCACTAAAGGTGATTAATACCCCCACCAGCAACTTTGGTTTTTTGATAAATAAGTGGTCTGAAGAAAAATTTGAACTCAACCTATAGTACATGAACAAAGAATTATTTCAATAAATTGCAATCACTACCAGGGTCTTCATATCTATAAGCTGCTATACACCAAGTTTGATTACAAAATCTCAATCCTTACTCTAGTTATTGTCCAGAAACCATTTTTCTATTTTTAGTAATGGTGACCTTAACTTTGATTACAAAATCTCAATCCTTACTCTATTATTGTCCGGAAACCATTTTTCTATTTTTAGTAATGGTGACCTTGACCCCAGGGGTCCAAATGCAATACCAACCAGGGTCTTCATATAAATTTGCTAAACACCAACTTTGATAACAATATCCCATTTCTCACTCTAGTTATTGTCCAGAAACCATTTTTCTATTTTTAGTAATGGTGACCTTGACCCCAAGGCATCCAAATGCAATACCAACTGGAGTCTTCATATAAGCTTGCTCTACACCAAGTTTGATTACAATATCTCATTCAAAACTCTAATTATTGTCCGGAAACCATTTTTCTATTTTTAGAATCGGTGACCTTGACCCCAGGGGTCCAAAAGCAATATCAGCCTTGGTCTTCATATAAGCTTTACACCACAGTTTGATTACAATTTCTCATTCCTAATTCTAGTTATTGTCCGGAAACCATTTTTTTATTTTAAGTAATGATGACCTTGAACTTGAGCCCAGGGGGCCCAAATGCAATACCAACCGGGGTCTCCACATAAGGTTGCTATATACTAAATTGACCCCAGGGGGTCCAAATGCAATACCAACTGGGGTATCCTTATAAGGTTGCTATATACCAAGTCTGATTACAATATCTCATTCCAAACTCTAGTTATCATCTGGAAACCATAATGTGGACCGACCGACCGACAAGCTAAACTTTGTTTATGTGGGTATAATAGATTTCAATAATTTAACCTTGAGGGATGCTACATGCTAAATATCATAGCTCTGGTCATTGTTGTTTTTCAAGAATTATTTTTTTACAACATTTTTACTTGTACAAGTCTATGTAAAGGGAGTGGCCATTTTTAATCTTTAATATGTGCATGTCCCCTATGGTACCACTGTTCTTATTATTTCCAGCAAATTGTACAAATAAAAAGAACTTGTATTTACTATTTTATTGAATTGTGTTTTGCTGCCACATCTTGACATTAAAATACGCATGTCATTCCTAAAATAACTCCATGATTTAAATTAGAAACATCTATAGTCAGTCAACCATGTTTTGAATGGGAGCTAAAACGGAGAGCACTATGGTACCGTGGTATGTTAATTGATGGCCCTTTTTACATTCAGTATAATTTTTTGTAACAGAATGTGATGTCACTACAGTTTCAGCAGACGACCTTCACTTGTCGGAACATGAAATTATAAGTTTAACCGTTAAATATGGGGTAAAATAAAGAAGTATTTTTAACACACTGGCAGCTTTGGATTTTCCTATCAATGACAGAATTTATTTGAAATGAAATTTTTTTTTTAACAATTTCTCCAACTTCACAAAAAGCAGCACTTCCACTTTCACTTTAATGGTGGAAACAGTACATTGTATTTGGTGGCATTCAATATGTAAAGAAACAAATTTTCTGATTACATCGGAATGGGCAAGGACACGGTACCCGCAGGGAGTACTATAGCTTTTGTTGAGGTCCACTAAGCAATGTTAAATGCAAAATATCTAAGCTCTGGGCATTGCAGTTTTACAAAAATACTTAGAAAACTTACATGTATTGTCCTATAGTAGTCTATATAAAGTAAATTACCCTGGGGCAGAATCAATTTTGACCCAGGGGAAAGGATTTATATAACTTTAATTAGAAGAGGACCACAAGCTGATACTACATGCTAAATATCTAATCTCTGTGAGCTGTACTTTCTTAGATTTTTCATCTTTAAAGTCTATTTTTAGCTCCTGTGACCTACTTGTGCATCAGACTGGATCCATTTATATAATTTTTGTAAAGGCTCATGATCCTTGTGAAGTTTAGTCAAAATCCATCAAGTGGTTAAGGATGAGTAGTTATTTAAAGAAATTATGGGCAATGACAGACAAAGAATAGCAGAAAAACTGTTATCACAAAAGTGCATCTTTGAACACTTCGTGCTCAGGTGAGCAAAAAACCATAAATGTGATCAAAATTTGAAGGTCATAGGTCAGGATAATATTTTATTAAGGGTTAAGTTTATTTACATATACATGTATCTGATATCTCAAATATAATGACTGTTAAGCTTGAAAGCTTAAATCCTTTTATGTGTTCTTTTCATCAAGACTTTCTACATTATGATAGAGCTACATGACTGATTCCTCGACATGGGCAATTTCTACATGGCCGATTTCCGCCCCAGTGTAACTATTTGAGGAAAAATGTAAATTACTTGATTACAATACATATTGAATGTCAAGCCTCTAAGCCTTATATTTTCTGAACAGAAGCTTTTTAAAAACTCAAGTTACGTAAGTCTTCATAAAATAAGTGACCCTCGTAGCTAGGTAATTATTGGTCCCAATGACATGTTTGAATCACACAATAAAAATTGTTTCTTATCAAATAACAAATGTGCACTTTTGGATTAAGAGTCTATTAATGATTTTACAACTTTTACACATGTATTCATATATTTTTACATCTATTTCTGTCCTTTCAGGGGCTGCAACCCTGTAATGTATGTTGAAATTAGCCCTTTAAAAAGAAGCAAAGTTCACGACCATTTGAATTTGAATTCAAATGAAAATATTCATCATTTAAATTCTGATCAATTTTGTGAGAGTAGATGTTACGAGAGTCACACTTAAATCTTCTCTTTGGATTTCATCAATTTTGTTTTTCACTTTCTGATTCATCAACGGCGTCAGAGACAACAAATCAAGCCTTTTTTCTGGTGCAAGCTTGCTATTCTCCATCAGTGTCTCCCCAAATGCTTTAATCATGAACGATGGATGCTTTTCTTCTGAATTTTTATCAGGATTGGCAAGCTTCTGTGGAATGTCTGACAATATTATCAGCCTATCCGCATCCTGTGGAATTTTCTTTTCAATTACCAATTCCGGGCCTGCAACAATTTCCTTCTCAATACATAAACTGAGATCATCGGATTGAACCAGAAATATCTTTGGTTTCATTCTCATAACTGTTGACATTTTTGCAACATTGTAAAAATCCTCCATAGAATACATTCCACCATTGAGGTGAATTCTTTCATCCCTATATTTAGTGTTTTTGGTTGGTTTTGACATATACGTGAGAAAAACAAATATGAAAACATCGTAGTCAGAGGATCCCTGTAAGCTGCCTTTATCTAACTCTCGTATGTACTCTGTCACTTCATCTTTAGTTTGGCCATTTAAAATTTTAACCTTCTGCGGTTCTGGATGATGAACTTTCTTTGAAAAGTTCACATAAATACTCAGCAATTTCAATTCATTCTGTGTTGTTGTTTGAACGTTTTCCTTTCTCCCTTAATTCCTTTAGGAGCAGGTCCCTCAACATAAGGAGAAATTTTCGAAAAAATTGTCACTAAAATACGTTTTTTTAAGGGATATGTGTCTCCCACAAACTCTTCATACGAAACTGTATTCATCATTTAAGGTGTTTCTTCCTCTATTCCTAGTTAAGCCACAGTCTGTAATTATAGAAACAATTGAAATTTAAATCCGTGCTTTTGATACCATCTCTCGAACGGTACCATCTCTCGACCAAAGTGATACATTTCATATTTGACAAATCAGATTTATGTTGTGCAGCAAGGGATAGTTTAATTAAGTGACATTAGCACTTACATTTGCTTTGTTTTGGCAAAGTTCCATATTTACAGCTTCATTTTGACCATTCTAATAGTAGACGAAAGTTCAATTTTAAGATAATGGCAGACTACTTTCATTTTTGAAATTATGTATTTTTGTAAAGTTACCACTTTACTAATGTAGATTTGTGGAATAAGTCAGAACAATAAGAATACTTTATGAACCCTTCTTTCAAGAAAATATGAGCGTAATTTTACTGTATTTTTGATTTGTTTTATGGACCTAGTTTCTTGATTTATTGTTTTGTTCAATCAAATTTTTAATCAAACAAGATAAATCAAGTTGAACACCACTAAAAATATTTCTTCTACTGTTCTCAATATGCAATTATCAATGTTGAAAAGGAATAATCAAATTTTGGTTGATATAAGTAAAACTGCTTGTGATTTGTGAAGCTGTTGTATTTAAAAAGTCAGATGAATACTCCAGGAATGTGACAAGACATGAAAATAAATGAAAATGTGTTTGTTTTGTTCTATGTTACAGTAGAAAATTTAATTAATGCTTATAGTTTCAATATAAATGGTCTCCTCTTTCTACAAGTTATTTATACACTATAAATAACTTGGTTCGATAATTGGCAGCAAGGGGTCAGCTTTCTTCTACTAATCAAGCACCCCAATGAGTTCACGGCAGCCATTTTTAAAGGTCATGTTGACAAATTTTAAGTAGGTCAAAACAGACACAATACTTGCCTCTACAATCAAGAACTTTACTAAGTTTAAAGACACTTAACATCCTAAAAATAATTACAGTTAAGTGAAATTATTGTTCGAGAGATGGTACAACGTGGTTTTCGACTTCCATATAATTTTGAAAAGTGCCATACAGTGTGTCCTGGCTAGTCGTACGTGACTCACGTACGGCTAGAACTTTTGGCTAGCCGTACGGCTAGCCACTTCCTTGTTTTTAAGTACTTAATACCAGGAATGACTTAAGCAATCAATAAAAAGTTAAAAACTTATGTAAATGGTCCATTACTGTTAATGATACTATTACTAAAGTTCTATTCAATATTTATCAGTTATCACACAGTTAAAGGGTAACAATTTGATAAGCATTTGCAAACACATTCAAAATATCATGTTGGGTCCAAATCGTTAGCAATGTTACTGGTTTTTATACGTAAAACACATTTATGTGAATAGGGTTATAAAAACTTTGAATTTTCTTCAAAAAATGCTATATTTTGTATAAAATTAATGTGAAAAACACTTGCATACACAAGAATTTTTTTTATATAAGTATGGTTTGTAATATCTGGACATTCCCGGCACAAAGTACCTCCCGGTCTAAAGTAACTTGAAGTTGAGGATATATCGTCGAGTGACCCGTTTTTACGCTGCCCTATTTCGACGCCATTTATATTTTGCCTCATAATTGATATAAGCGGCCGCTTACGTCATTACTGTACTACGCTATAGCAAAAGGGGATTCCTCTAGTTTGTCAGGTAACAATATGTAGTAAGTAAGACACCCAAAGGTAAGATTTAGCATGTTATACCTTATTTAAGAGATCTTTGTATGATTTCACTAATGCAATTTTGACCCTCACTTTACTATGTCATGCTTTCCTTGAAAAAATCGGCTGGAAAATACCTCCCTGTCTGCTGACCTCATTTCCTCATTCTCAGGTCACATGGCAGTAAAATTACCCAATAGTGTTGTTTTTGGCGCATTTTTTCACCCTAAAGCAACCTGTACGTGTTGTATATTTTTTTAACGGTTATTAATCGATGAATGAATATTAATTGAAAATTAATTGGATATGGTTATCTTATTTGGATGGAATGAATTGCCATGATTTAGTAAGTTGCTCTGCTAAATGTATTATTTTGTTTTTGCAGGTTCAACAAAGGAAGTTAATGTGCTATTTTCCAACCTTTATTATTCAGCAGAGAAGGTCAAACAGACTAGGGCAACCACCCAAACCACTGTAAAAATACAACAATAGCATTTACCATATATAATTATGCTTTATTATTGAAAGAAATAAAGAATAGATAAACTATTTTTCACTTGTTGATACTTTGCAGGTCTATGCTCTTGATATTGGTGAATAGCGTAAGTAAAAGTATTATGGTGTACAGTCTCCTGTAGTGTGTAATTAAATTAGCCAATCAATAGCGTCGTTTTAGGGCACTCTCAATCAAAATGGCCGCTCCCGGATGAAGTGAAAGTAGGATTGTTCTTGAAAAGGAATAGCTGGAAAACAGCTTAAATTTACTCATTTCATAAAGGTTAGAGATTTTTTAATAAGTTAAAACATTTTATACAATACAATCACATAGTTTTAATAGACGCATACAAAACAATCCTTATGGGCGTCGAAACTGGTCACTCGAGGATAATATCCTCGTACTGCCTCTTTCCGATCAGCTAACAGATTTTTCTACAATAACTGACAGTGAAATTATATTAGAAAAATTTCTCTTTCAATTCTGCGAATATTATCATTTTAGCTAATAAATGCACCAACTTTTTAAAATTTTACCTGAATTATTATTATGAATTGAGGATAAATCATTACTGACCCATTTTCCTGTTCTTCAAAATTTCACAACCACTTTTCAATCAGTTAACAAAATATAAACTGTACCACATAAAAATTGTCATACAATGTTAAAATATAATCAATTATGTATTATGGAGAAATTTTGACAAACTCAACTTCAGATAAATGGTAATAAACAATTTTAACCTAATTATAATGCCATTTTTTAATCTTGATATCTATTTGCAGTGGTAAAGCTGTCACAATTGGGGTATGGATGTACATTTCAATTTGCATAACAGAAAAAGCATGTTCTTGTGAAATTTTTAGGATCTTAAGGTCTATATGACACCATTCTATTGACAGCTTACTGAAAAGTTATCAGTGAGAATGTTTTTCTTTGTTTAAGTGACTGTTACTTTACTTATGTATAACCTTCCAATTAAGAATTGTATGGTAAAATATGTACATATTAAAATTATAGCTTTTGAAGTACAGTATATATTATGACTTCAAGATATTGAAACAGTTGTTCAACCTAATATCCATTTCAGCAGACTGACAAAAAACTGAGTCTGTAAATCAATTATTTTTAGAAAATTATTGCGATTTGTAACTGGCTAAATAAAGGATTAGTGGAAAACACACATTTCACATATTTTTAACTAAAATGCTAGCATTTTCTTTTTTATCGCCATAATTGACATTGCTGCTAATAAATGTAGTTAAGGTGAATGCAAGATGTGCTTACAGTTTGGTTACATGACAAATAAGGTCAAAAATAAATAAATTCTAGGGGTGATTGAAAAGTGGTTGTGATTGAAAACTGGCAGTATGTGGATAATTTATGATAATTATTTTCAAATATCTTATTCAACTCAACTTTACAACGAAAAAAGTGAGCAAAGTGTCACTTTAGCATGGAAAACACACTTACCTTGCTGTAAACAAAAAGAAACTTAAACTGTTAAAGTTAAATGTTGATTGTTGGCAGCTGGATAAATTATGTTTATTTTAAACTATGAAAGAAGCAAACTTGTCAACTTCCGCGTTAATTCGGAACACCATTCTAATCGCCCAATGACCGAAAAGTTGCGACTGCAGAATACGAGTACAATCAAAGCACTGAAAGCGCTATCAGCGTTTTATTAAGAGCTGTATTTCCCTTAAACCTCGTCTCCTTAACTAAGAGAAAACAACCAAACACAATTCTCATTTCATAAATTCATATTTATTTGCGGAAAGCACTTGGGTCGCTATACTCAAATTTGACCGACTGTTTCCAAAGGAAAAGAGTCAACTCGGCCCTATACCAACTCGGCACGGGTCTACTCGGCACGGGTCAACTCGGCCCACTTTACAAAAAGATATATTACGTATTAACTTTGCTTTGCATGTTGTTAAGGTAAATGAATAATAAGAAATATCTTATTACTATATAATTATAATTGTACTTCTCCCGAAATAAAGTAGATCTATATTTAATTTTTTTTTATTTATTTGTCTTATATTTATAAACTCTCTCCGTCGAACTTCGTAAATAACCGAGGTATATTGAGTGAAAAAGCAAGACTAGTTTCCCTTCGCTTGCAAAAGAATGCAAATTTAGCCGTGTTTAAATCGCTAGTTTGTGGGGAGTAAATGTCCGATTTTAAAATTTGTTACACCAATTAAAAGCTGGTGATCTTAGCTTCCTCTCAGTATATATTTCAACACATTGTTTGACACTGAAGGTATTTAAATTTACGGTTAAACCTACCACGAGTCAGAAATACAGTTTCCAAATATGCTTGTATCTAAAATCAATCGTTTCTTACTAGAATCAGGTACGTATATTAACAATATATATATACCTGCTAGAATTTTCAGACACTGTTAATTAATGGGTTAACAATAAACGGTGGAGCTGAACATTTTTGTATTTTCTGATCGAAGATCAGTAATATACAAAGCGGACATTCGATCTCTGACACAGAATTTCACGACAGACCTAACAACAAGTAGTTCTCAAAACAGCTTGAAACTAGCGATTTAAAAGAAAGACATATTTTTATTTTGTTTCAAGTACCCAACAAATTA